AAAAAAAAAATGGGCAAGGATTTGAATAAACAAACACCACTCCAAAGAAGACATACAAATAGCCAACATATGAAATAGCCAAGCATATGAAAATAGATGGTCAACCTCTCCAAGGAGAAATGGGAAATCAAGAGTCAGACGCTGGGGCACCTGGGCGGCTCAGTCAGTTAAGTTTCCAACTCCTGATTTCGGCTCAGGTCAAGATCTCAGGGTCCTGAGATGGAGCCCTGCGTAGGGTGCCACGGTGAGCGTGGAGCCTACTTAAAATTCTCTCTCTCCTTCTCCTTCTGCCCCTCCCCCTGCTCGGTGAGCATTCTCTCTCTCTCTCTTAAAAAAAAAAAAGAGAGAGGGATGCCTGGGTGGCTCAGTAGGTTAAACATCTGCCTTCGGCTCAGTTCATGATCCCAGGCTCCTGGGATTGAGTCCCGCATCGGGCTCCTTGCTCAGTGGGGAGCCTGCTTCTCCCTCTGCCTGCCAATACCCCTGCTTGTGCTCTCTCTCTGTGTCAAATAAATAAAATCTTAAAAAAAAAAAAAAGAGTCGGACGCTTAACCAGCTGGGCCACCCGGGCGCCCCATTCAGCCTTTAAAAAGAAGGAAATCCCATCACATGCTACAATATGCATGAACCTCGAGGAAATCACGCTAAGCAAAATAAACCAGCCACAAACGGACAAATACTGTATGATTCCATTCATATTAAGTATCTAAAGTAGTCAAAATCATAGAGACAGTGGAAAGATCTTTGCCAAGGGCTGAGGGAAGAAAGGAGGGGGAATTAGTGTTTATGGGTATAGAATCTGTTTTGCAAGATGAAAAAGTTCTAGTCATCTATTGCACCACAAGGTAAATACGCTTAACACTACTGACCTGTACGCTTAAAAATGGTTAAGAAAGTAAATTTAATATTATGGGTTGTTTTCTTTACCACGATAAAGAAAAAAGAACACACATACACATACAAAGCTTTGAGATGAATGAAAGAAGCCAGACACCACCGGTCACTGTATGACTCTATTTATATGAAATTCAAGAAAGAGCAAAACCAATCTACAGTAATAGAAATCTGATGGGTTTTTTTGTTGTTGGTTTGTGTTTTTTTTGTGTGTGTGTGGAACAAGAACCAAGTTTATGTGTTCATTTCTTGCATTTGAAGTATTCCTCGATGACATCCTTCGCCTGAGACTCTTTGCCATAGTCCTTAACCACCACACAACTGCAACCAACCACTTTACGGGGTTTTCCCTCTCTGTCAGTTTTACAGAGGCCTACCCATTCCCCTAGTTTCTTGTTGTCATCAACCTTGATTAGGTTAATTTGGTGTTCGGCACCAAGGGCCTCCACCAACTTGACATACACAGGCTCATCACAGTTGGATGCAAGCACACAAAGATGGGCTTGGCGCTTGTCTAAGGCTTTGGCAGCTTTGCGAATTCCACGTGCTAGGCCATCATGGATGAGGGCAGTCTTCAGCACCTCTTGTAAAGCAGTTTTAACCTATGGAGCCAGAGCGTTGAGTGCCTGTCTTGGCCTATTAATAACCACTGTTATGGTTGGACTGGCCCTTGTGGTTCTTATGATTGCAAGATGCCCTTCAGCAACAACCATCAGGAAACTTTGCAAAAGAAATAAAGGTTTATTACTTACGAGACCTGGAAATTACACAGGAAACCTGGAGCCGCACAGCAAGGTCACAGGGTCACAGGAAGAGAGCAAGTGTGCATGGTCATGGGGTTCTGTTTTTATTGGAGTCAGAGGTAGGGGGCTAGGGATTGGTGGGCTCACTATTGGGGAATTTAAAAACAGGATAGCAGGAATTTAAAGCGTGGGAACAGAAAAGGCAAGAGGCCCAAATGGTCAGTTATAGAAATTAACCAAGATCTCTAAAACAAAGGAGCCTGTGGGTGGAGGGGGCCTGGCTCTTAATCCAGCCTGGGGGCTGGCCTGGTGTTTGAGAAGTGGGTGCCTCCTTGAAATGGATGCCTTGGCAATCAAAGCTTAAGTCAGACACTTGCATTACAACAAAAAAAAGAAAAAAAGTAACAACTGTCAGTTCACAACCCTCTGGGGGAACTTCCTGGGTGTGATCTGAAACTGGCCAGCAATGGCACTGAGGGCTAAGGGCTGGGAGAGACCAAAGGAAACAGGCAGGCCACTCCAGTCGGATAGACAGCAGTTTTATTTGTGTATTTATTTATTTGTTTATTTATTTATTTATTTAGAGAGAGCACAAAAGGCGGCGGGGCAGGGGGGGCAGAGGGAGTGAGAATCTTAAGCAGGCTCCACGCCCAGCGCTAAGCAAAAGGAACTTACATACAAGGCTTGCCTTGGGTGGCAGCAAGACGAATGGATCCCCGCCCCCCACTGCCAAATCCTAAACGTTTCTATAGTGGCCTTAACTGGGTTCCCTCACATACGCCATACAAATGTGAACACCACATCGCTATCTCAGGCCACGTCCTTGGAGCAGCCTCTGGGAGCAGAACGGCAACTGGGGCTCATATTCCAAGGACGGGAGGAGGTGTGGAGCTTCCCAGTGCCCAGGTTCAGCTCGCGGGTCAATAGGCAGCCGCATCTTTTCGATGATCTTCCCCAACACCCGGAAACACACAGCTGCTGTCTGCTTGGGCGGCTCACACCCCCAACTGCGCTGGCTGTGGACAGAATGTTTGTGTCCCCTTCAGATTCTTCTGTTGCAGCCTGCCTCCCAGTGTGATGGTGTTAGGAGGTGGGGCCTTTGGGAGGTGACTAGGTCATGGGGGGGGGTTCCTCAGGAATGGGATTAGTGCTCTTGTAAGAAGAGGCAGGACACAGTTTGCTTCCCCTTTACAACGGGTGGGGCCTTACACAGAGATTGAATGGGAAGGAACAAGAAGGACTCTTCTATGGCTCGTGTTGGTGATTACACAGGTGTTTACAGATATAAAAAGTCTAAGAACTCAGTGAACCCTGGGTAATACTTGTGCACTTGCATACAGTACTATGTGTGTCCTACCTCAATAAAACCTTCAAACGATTGGGGCACCTGGGTGGCTCAGGTGGTTAAGCGTCTGCCTTCAGCTCAGGTCATGAACCCCGGGGGTCCTGGGATCGAGCCCCGCATCGGGCTACCTGCTCTGCAGGAAGCCTGCTTCTCCCCCTCCCACTCCCCCTGCTTGTGGTCCCTCTCTCGCTGTGTCTCTCTCTGTCAAATAAATAAATAAAATCTTTAAAAAAAAAAAAACCTTCAAACGACACCAACAAGCACATCATGGGATTTGACATAAAACAGGAAAACGAAACGAGAAAGGCCAACCAAGCCATAGGACAGGACCCACTGCAAACAGCAGAAAGTCAGGATCAAGGACCTCAGAGGCTTCAGGATTAATAAGATGTCAAATCCTCCTAAATGAAGAGAATGGCAAAAATGATGCTAGTTGACTTCCAAGGTCAGGCTGTAAAAAGCCATGCATCCCTGCTTTGTTCCCCAGGGAATTGTGGGATTTGGTGCTTACAGACCACTGGAAATCCTCACTGCCTTAGCTCCCACGTTCACTGCGAGCTCCTGGAGAATCAGGAATCTGCAAGACCCACAGGATCGCCACCAGTAATGACAGCTTCCCATGGTCTACAGGTGGCTTACGGAGGCAAGCCTGGGGATTGCTGCAACCCTCACACGTTCACCACCTGCCGATGCCCCCGCATCTGCCTCTCTCCATTTCCAGAGGAGAAACCATGCCTTCCCTCGTCCACCTTCCAAATCTAATGCAAGCAGCTCTCCTTGGCAGAACCTAATCCAGAGCAACACTGGCAAGGAGTTCTGGAAAATGTGGTTCCCAGACTTTCAGCCCTCCGATAAAGAGAAGAGAGAAAGGAATGGAGATAAAGCCTGATTGCAAGAACACCAGTATTGCTATTTTTTAAAATTGGTGTTTATTTGGTTGCTGATGAGATTGAATGTTTTCCCTAGACTTGCTTCCTGTGTTTTCCATTTTGCAGTAAACAATGAAAAAGCTGTTTTAAAAAGTTTAAAAGTTTCTTTTTTTTTTTTTGGTAGGGAGAAAAATAAAAGGCAATGTTAAGTGTAGACATGTTGTACTCATACCTCAGAAGCCCCTGTTGAAAATATGTTGGGCTGGACGCCTGGGTGGCTCAGTCGGTTAAGCATCTGCCTTCAGCTCAGGTCATGATCCTGGATCCTGGGATCGAGTCCCGCATCGGGCTCCCTGCTCAGCGGAGAGCCTGCTTCTCCCTCTCCCCTTGCTCCTCTCCCTGCTCATTCTCTCTCTCTCTCTCTTTCTCGCTGTCAAATAAATAAAATCTTAAAATATATATATATGTTGGGCTAACTCCTCCAGCTGGTTACAGTCACTGCCTACGACAGCCCAGCACACTGACCCTTACTGAGTCCTTACTGGGAGCCAGTGCCCCACCTGTGCATGGGTCCATGTGACAGATAAGTGGGGACAGGGCTAATATTTTTGAAGCACTCTCTTGTGCGTTCTTCCCTCTCCCGGTAGTCTAGTTCTGGTTCAGCTGCCCCTTACCAAAGCTGGAGCCTGCGGTTTGCTGCTTTGGGCAGGGGGCTGGAGGGAATCCCGCTGGAACAAAGAAGATAATGTGTTCAGGAGAGGGCTGAGGTTAGGAAAGTCCCTGCAGAAGAAAAGAAGCGGAATGCCTCCCCTTATGACTCTAGTGAGGGGTGGTAAGAAAAAGAGGGAGAAGGGCAGGAGTTGAGATGCCAGGGGCCTAGCACCCCCATGCCCTGGGATCAAAACTCTGGGCTAGGGCAGGAACGGAGTATAGATATCCCAGGTATGTTTAGAGATTCTTAGAGCAGAAAGGACCACGGCTTGGCCTCCTAGGGTGTCCAGGGGGCCACAGGGGCCATGTCCAACCTGGCTTCTGAGAAATGGATCAACAAGAATGCAGGAATTGAATATCTCCAGAAGTGGTAACTATGGTCAACCCTAAGGAAGGTGGTATAGCCCTATAGAGGAGATTTTGAATCCTGTGAATTCTGCTCCCTGTGGATGCCCGTGGGAGATAAATTACCAGAATGTCCACAATTCTTTCCCCCCCTCCCTACTTCCGCACCCTTGGCAATATTCCTCCAATCAAGAGGTGCAGTCTGTTTTCCATCCCTTCAATCTGGTCTGGTCTGGTCTGTGACTTGCTTCAACCAAAAGACTGCAGCAGAAGTGACACTTCTGTGACCTTGCAACTTCTGCTCTTTCTCCACACTGCCCCTCTCACATGTGAACAAGCCAGACCAGCCTCCTGGAGAACGAGAGACCACGTGGAAGAGGGTGGAGGTGGTCCAGGCGACAGTCAGTCGACCCCAGCAGCAGAGTCCCCTAGCCAGCCTGCTGCTGATCTCAAATGCAGGAGCAATCCCAGCCAAAACCAACTGAGATGAGAAGAACCATGTAGCTGAGCCCAGGCAGAATTGTCAACCCACAGAATCACCAGTTAAATAAATGGTGATTGTTTTAAACCATTACATTGGGGGGGCGGTGTTTGTTACACAGCAATAGCTAACCAATACAATACCTTACCTATTAAAATAAATAAAATTCATTTTAAGTAGCTCTTGAGAAGAAAAGAAATAGCTGAGAAAGGAATCCAGGCAGATGTGTGTGCAGGTGATTTAGAAGTTCCCCTGGGAGGGGGCGCCTGGGTGGCTCAGTAGTTAAGCGTCTGCCTTCAGCTCAGGTCACGATCCCAGGGTTCTGGGATCGAGGCCCGCATCGGGCTCCCTGCTCAGCGGGAAGCCTGCTTCTCCCTCTCCCACTCCCCCTGCTTGTGTTCCTGCTCTTGCTATCTCTGTCTCTGTCAAATAAATAAATAAAATCTTTAAAAAAAAATTATTAAAAAGAAGTTCCCCTGGGAGGATGACAGGGAAGGGTTGGGGGTCTGGCAGAATTTTCTAGGCCTGTGGTCAGTTCAAAGAGGCTCCAAAATACGGGTCTCCTAAACAGGAGAACAAGTAGAAGGAGCAATGGGATTTAGAAGACAGGGCCAGCCACACCTCAGCAGACCCAGTACAAAGTGTTCAGGGACCAGGCCAGACCAACCTCCCCATGGCACACACCAGGCCCTGAGACAGGACTCAGGACAAAGGCCCACCATCCTGCCGGGAAAGAAACTTCAGCCTCCTCTGCACCCAGGACCACCTGAAGTAGGAAGGAGGGAGGGGAGCATTGAAAGCTTGAGTATTTTTGGGTTTTGTTTTGGGTTTTTTTGTTTGTTTGTTTGTTTTTGGAAAAAAACTGAGTTAACCTAAAAGAGAATGATTGCACCATATACAATGCTCACTCTACCTCATATGTGCAACCATATTTTTATTCTGGTTTTACGGATTAGGAAACTGAGGCACAAAGTACTCAAATGATAGTCATGATTGGATAAAGCCAAGATTTGAGCCCAGGCAGTGCTGCTAAAGAGACTGAAAGAACCTGGAAGAGCCTGGGATTGCTTTAATTGGCAAATGTAAGTACGCTTTTCCTTTCTGATAGCCAAGATGATAGGGGATCCCAAGGAAGTTACAGAAAATTAAGATGCTACAAACACAAATTTTTATATGCTCTAGGTGTGTTACATTTGGACCCCAGGAAATAGAGGTTTTAAGAGTTGCCCGCTCTTATACTTTTAGGAATGGGGTCTGTGCCTTCACCACACTGCCAAAAAGAGGCCTCATGGGGCTTCCTTTATAATAAATCCTTCTTCTTAAGCAAATGCCACCTTCTCTATTTCCTGCATATCATGAATGATAATGGCTGGTGTGTTCAGCATTTCCATTGTGCGGAGCCCTCACCCACATAATCTTATAATCCTCGCAACACCTTTCTGAGGAGGGGATTACTACCGTCCCCATTCTGCAGATGAAGAAACAAAGGCTCAGAGGTGGCAAGGGAGTTTGAAAGGTCACACAGCCCAGAAGAGGCAGACCCCAATATTTGATCCCCAAGTCTGGCCAACTTGGACGCACGCTAGGACGGGCATGCTCATCTTCCTTCCAGGGTGCCCAGCACAGGGCCTATGGCAAGGTGTCAGTAAGGTTTTGACAGAGCAATTACAGGAACCACTCGTTGCCCAAACACAGAACCTGGAAACCCCTCCAAACAGCTCCTTCGTCTTGCATCAGCAGCCTTATTATGCCATAGTAAAAACACTTCCCCAAGCAGCCTTGGCTACAAGAAGCAGAAACAGCCTTGCCCACTGGCTCCATTTCAGGCTCCAACACCCACCAGATTGAAGAACGGCGGCCAGTCTTGCCCTACACACCTGGCCCACACCCCTGCCTGCTCCTGGTCCTCTCTGGTGAGTGGAATCTGGGACAGAACAGGACCTGGCTGGTCCCAGAGAGGGGCACCAGGTGCTCTGGCATGCCTGGAGGGGCTCGACCCCACCAAGAGGGAATGGGTAGCTGAGAGATTTCCTGATCCCGGCAGAGTGCAGATGCAGTGTCCCAAGAAGTTCTGCAGCCCAGTGAGGTTAAGCTCCCAGGCTCTGGGTGCTCGCTGGCTGGGCTCTGGCTCGGACATCCACGTGCCCATGCCACATGCCACTTTGCTGTCCTCTTCTGCAAACAGGGCTGCTAATGGGGTGCTGTGAGTATTAAGTATAAAAATGATGAGGCTCAGCCCAGGATCAGTGACATAGTTTGCTGGGCCCAGTGCAAAACGTAAACGTAGGTTCAAAAAGTGTTGAGACTAACATAACATAATAAAATAAAATTAAATTTTTTAAAAAAATGTTGATAACTTTATGACAGCTACAGTAGAGCATTCACAAGTGTGGGGCCCTTCTAAGCACGGGGCCCTGTGTGACCACACAAATTGAACACCATGAGCCAGCATGGGCTCAGCCTGAGAAATCTGGGCTCAAACCTCACCACTGATTGATTTAAGTAACTTCTCTCTGGGCCTCAGCTTCCCCCTCTGTGAAATGGGGCTAATCATGGGACCCACCTCATGACTTTATTTGGAAAATCCAACGAGATAATACCTCTAAGTAAGTACCTGGCATAATGTTAAGATTTAATAACTGTTGGCTGTTATTATCCTATGTTCATCTCCTCTAAGTCAGGATCAGGCTGATTTAGCTCTTGAGTCCTGGGGCTCTTGGGTCCAGCCCAGCCTCTGAGCCCAGAACCCTCTGATCCAGCAGGCAACATGCTTGGCTCTCAGTAGGCTCATTCCATCTCCTGTCCATCTGGGCCCCTGTCCCAGCTCCTACTAAGACCCAGATCCTGCTCATCTCACCTTGGGTCCTCCAGGACGGTCACCCCTGGAGAGGCCCTCGTGGGCTCAGATCTGGGGCCAGACCTGGCTGCTCCCTCACTCCCCGGCTGTGATTTGGGGCACCACTTCGCTTCTCTGAGCTGGCTTCCCCGACTGTAAAATGTGAATTGTAATTCCTAGATGCTCATTCCACAAATACCTCTGAGTATCCACTAAGTATTAGGCGCTAGGCTAGAAAGTCAGATGTCTAAACTACCCAGGATCAAATATTTTAGAAAAATATGGGTTTTATACCAGGCTTCCAAAAGGGAACCCCTCATCACGCACTGTGAGAGGCAGGGCAGAAAATGGGTAGGAAGGAATCCCAGAACTGTGGATAGTGAGCTGCTCCAGCCCTGCAGACACGTACCCAGGACATTTCCCAAAGTCCATGCAATGACATGGAAGGAGAACCAAGAAGGGGACAGCAGGAAGAGGTAAAGGGCACAGGTCTTCTCTCGTTGAGGTACAAATAACATACAACAAATTACACATATTTAACATGTACAATTTGATAAGTTTTGTTGGGCATTGGATATACTTCACTCCTGTGAACTCATCACCAAAATCATTATCATGAACATACGTAACACCCACAAAAGTGTCCT